GTCTTCCACTGTAAACCTTTTCACTCCACCACTTTTTGTTTTTTCATTTCTTTCCCCTTCTCAAACCTTTAGCAGGGAGGAGGAATGAGTGAGTAAGTGAGCCTGGACGTGTTAAACAGCAGCTGGCATGCAGTCAAGTCAGCTGCGTTTACTGCTCTGGATGATTATATGCACGCAACATCGCACAAGCAACACACACACACACTGCTTGTGATCCAACACTGATGGAGTAAGACACAGCCCCCCCCCCCCAGCAGTAAGGCGTACTGTGTGTGTAGAAATGTGTGCAATGACGTCATGCCACTCCCCCTCCCTCCAAGCAGTCAGCCCACCCTTCCATACCTCTTGTCTATCCAATGTACAGACACAGTTGCCTTCTAGACTAACAGGGCTGCCTGCCACAGCGGAACGAGTAGTTATCCGGTGCTTATACATAATTAATACTTTAAAGGCAGACTGTAAATGCTGCCGGTGTGCTACCCGAACATCTCATTTTCTGTCTGTAAAACCCACAAAATGCAGAGCCTGATGCAAACAAAAAGGCACAGGCAGACAGAGAAGATGCAAAGAAGAAAAAGAAGACAAACAAAAGCGCAGGTTGTATGTCTCATTCATTAGCCTGCATTGTTTCAAACCAACCAAAGCAGAGACCAAATGTTGCTTCCACTATCATCGGTATCCTCGTTGCTAGAGAGTAGCCGCCACTCTCCAGAGCAGATTGCTGTTATGAAGCTCACAGCGGCGTTAAGCCCTCTCAGGCAAAAAGAGGGAGGGAGACGGAGAGAGACTCTGAGAGTGCAACATATGGAGCACGTAGTGGGAGTGGAGCGCAGCTTTCAATTATCACAATTCCATAAACATGCGGGGTGGAAAAATGAGTAGATAACACTGGGAGAAAATGAAGGGAGATGATAGACAGCTCAGACTCGCCGCGCGAACTACTACTCGCATTGTCTGGGCTTTGCTAAGCCTGTCACAGAAAATGACAGAGGGAGAACATAAGAACCACAACGCTGAATTGATTAGAGGCATTCCACGCTGCCTGTAGAGAGCCGAGCCCCGCACAGTGTCGGCCATCTTTGTCTGTCCTGCCAGAGGCTAAACATGGCCCTGCCCTCCCCCTCCTCCTGAGGCCCTAAACCCTGGGAGTACCGCTCACTGCAGAGAGGCCAAAAGACTTACTGAGAGAAAGAAACGAAACAAGGCGGAGGGAAAGAGGTGAAGAAGCAGAGCAGAGGAGACAGAAGGGGAGAAATTAGGAGAGAGAAAGGAGGCAGATTAAGGTGAGAGCAGTAAAAAAAAACCATCTCATTTCTTTTCACTTAAAATCACAACTATCCTCCTCACTGCAACCCGCAGGGTACAAGACTGCCCCTTTATTCACTGAGGTGATATAAATCTGAGAGTCATGCTTTGGGGCTGAACACAATAGCACCTCCCCTCCCTCCCATGGCTCAGCTTGGCCTGTGGCATTCTTTTAGCACTCCTCAGACAGACAGGGGTTCAACTATTTCTCAAAAAGGATATTTATTAGGAAAACATAAAGTATGTTTCTTGTGGAACAAGCTAAAAAAAAAAAGAGGCAAGAGTCACTGTTAATAAAAACGAATCAGTGCATTCATCACTGTCCTGAAAGCAGTCAAGACAAGACAAGCCAGTTAATTCTCCCCTTGACTAGCTAAAGATGGCTGGCCCCTTGGGTCCATAATGGCTGTGCAGTTTTCTTTGTGCAGTCAACTCTGGAGCGAGGGCCCCTGTGTACGACCACAATGCTACAAAGACTGGGAGAAGAGGGATACACAGAGGGCAGACTTTTCTCTTTACAAGGAAAGGCTTTAAATGTGAAAAAAACCCCAGCTCCGTTATTCGAAGGAGAAAAATCAGTCAAAGATCGGAGAGCGCGGGATTAAGTCTGCGTTTTCAAGTGCGAGAGTGTAAAATCAATGCAGTGCTTTTCAACCCAAAAACCCCCAATCCCTGTAAGTGTTTGAGCAGCAACCGGCTTCTCTCGCGACTGTTCACAGCGGCCTTTGCAATATGGCAGCCAGAGAGCGTTGTTACAACCTGTAACCCTCAAACCTAATGCCCAATTCCGCCTCCTCCTCCTCTTCCTCCTTCCACTGTAACACTAGAGCTTTGCTTTAAACAATACCAGATCCTCCCTTCTCCCACACGACAGGCCCCCAGCGCACCTCGTTAACAGGAAACCTCTGTTTATTTTCTCTGCCTTTCAAACACACTTCTTCCTCTGCAAACCCTGTTAGTGACCACCCCCTCGTGCACTGGCGACAACACCAGCCAGGATCTATGACTTCCTTCAGGAGGTGGCAACCAGAAGTAAAGAAGGAAAGACATATCCCAAACCCGCAGACAAAGGAGACGGCAGGGGAGGGAGGGAGGGAGGGAACGGGGGAGGTCATGCAGGCAACGGCAGCAGCAGCAGCAGCTCGGTGTTAGCAAGGAATGTCAAGCAGTTCAGCTAAGCTAGCAGGCTTGCTGAGCTAACAGCTTAGTTAACGAATGCCCCGAGGACAAGGGAGGCTTGAGTATGTGAGATCAGGGCTGGTACTGGTGTTGACACACACACACACATACACACACACACACAAAATGGTAGGGAGGGCATAAAGTTGGAGTGTTCACCTAGCCTGTCGGAAGGGGAAATAAAGCACAACCAAAAGAACAAAAGGGCGATTGTGGCATTTGGAGGCAGAGATGGGATCTGGGAGGACTAATCTGCTGCTCCAACATGATAAGATTAGAGAAGGGGGAGGCAGGAAGAGCTGGCTGGGAAGATCACACGTACACTCGCGCAAGCACACAAAGATGATGGATATGATTGGGAGGGTTTTCCACTCGGCTTTTCTCCCTTCCCCATTTTCGTTCTTCCTCTCCCTCTTTTTCTCCCGCTCTCTTTGAGACGGAGAGATCTGCCAGCACACCAGCACTCAATAAGCACTTCCATCTGGACGGCACACACAGACAAACTTAAAAAAATTAAAAAATATATTGCATGTGTGTGAACATGCAGTTGTGAGGTACAAGAGATCTGCTGTGCTCACGCAATCTCAGACATCTCAGTGACTGACAAAGGAGGTTGTTAAAAAGTAATGCTAGCGTGCTGTGTGAACAAACACACACACAAAATACACACACACACAAATAACAGGCTTTCAGGATAAGCACCTCTATTCTTCTCCCAAGCCGGCAGCAGCAGCAGGCTGGGACTCTGTGTCAGAGGTAAGAGAAAGCAACTCTAAATCAGACTGTCAGAGCCAGCAGCAGCAGGATCCCTCTCTTCAATCCTCCTCTCCTTATGGGCTTCACCGTGTGCACTTGGCTACTTGGAGGAAGCCTCTGCCCCTCAAGCCTCATTCTCTGAGCCACACATAATAACACTAAGCAAATGCTGATTACAACGTTTGTTGGGCGGAACTGTGCACAGCCTTCTTGTATGCCTGGCAACAAGAAAAAAAATGAATAAATAATTAAATATATAATGTGTGAGATTGTGTGGGAGGCATGGGAGGTGGTGGGGGAGGGGCAAGGTGAGTCCCAGCTGTGGTGGCGATGCTGGCAGGACCTTTTACACCATGCCTACACATGGGTGTCTCTCTCTCTGCCTCTCTTTGGCTTGACCTGTTTGGATATTAAATCGGCACCCTCTGCTTTGAACACACTGGGCCCATCTGTCAGCCCGGCTCCATATTGGATTGGATGAGCATTAGCCGATTCAGAGTGGGCAGATTTGCTCTCGTTTCTCTTTGTGTGTGTGTGTGTGTGTGTGTGTGTGTGT